TGCTGGAAGTATGGAGCAAACACCTTGAACCTGGTAATTCCACTAATAAGAATTTACTCCAAGGAGATAATGAGAGATGTAGACAGAAATGTATGTATAACACCTCTGATTTATGAAAATGAAAAAATGGAAACCTACTTAAATATCTAATAATGGAATACAATGCAACTTAAAATTCATATTATTAGAATAAATAACAAAAGGGAAAATATTGACAAGGCATCAAATAGTTAAGATATCAGTTTCCAAAAGAGCATGTCCTTTTCTTTGTGTATCTGTGTGTGAGAAAACTATTCAAAGTATGTCTGAGAACAAGCTACATCAGTATCACCAGGGACCTTGTAAATACAAATGTTCCACCCAGAGCTACTGAATCAGAATCACTGTGGATGGGTCCAACAATCTCCATGTTTATAATGTTCACTATGTGCCAGACCACCTTTAAGGCAGATACTAAAACCCCATTGTACAGATGACAAAACTGAGGCCCAGAGAGGCTAGGCAACTTGTCTAGGTTACAAAGCTGGTAAACAGCAATCTCCATGCTCTTAACCATTCAGCTCTGGTGCCCCTCCAGGTTCACTGACATATTTGGAAGTGTTCTGAGCTCGTTCTCCTGAATTGACCATTAGAGGCATCCCACCTACTATTCTGTCTTCTTCCTAGTATTTTAGCACTTCTATTGGGAGGCAGGCTGGCACTACCACTGACATACCTCATGGTGAAAACCTGTTGACACCTTTAAAGGTTATAAAAAGATATTTACATTTAAGTGCACATTAAATATCAGCTCACATTAGCAGAAACTTTAATGCCTACCAGTACCAGCACAAGCACACCAACTACACACGGTAGGCCCTTCTACTGCCAGCTAAAGTAAAGCTGCCAGTGATCCCACAATCACACTTTAGATACACCTGGTCTACATTCAAAATTTGCACGCACCACTTAAATTTTATATTACACTATTTTATATTCACAATAATCTTGCACAAAGTTCAAGATTAAGGTATCTTTGCAAACAGACATTACCAGGTTTTATTCCAAACTTCAAATACCTGAAAAGAAAGGTTTCCCTTGACACTTTTATAGTCTGTTATTTTCTAAGGAGGAAACACACCTCAGTCATTCATTCCAGGAAACTACACCAGGGATAGACTGGGAAGACAACGGACTTAGGCCTACTCACTCCTCAGAGGAAGAACACGACATAGACAAAAAAACTTAACAGCTGGACTAGCTTTCAAAGCCCTCAAATATTCCTTGTCTTCAAGAGCTAAATTTATGGAATTTTAAAGACAACATTAATATGTTTACATTATAGGTATTATCTGATAACAGCACTACATCTGCTTCTACAATCTGCCAAATTCCAGAAGAATACAAAGTCATTGTGATGATTTAAAAAAAAAAAATCGGGCTTCCCTGGTGGCGCAAGGGGTTAAGCACCACACTATGAAGCAATCCGCAGCCTCTGCAGCATGAGTTCGATCCCCGGCCTGCCACAGAGCTACCCACATGGCACAGCAGACCTCTCCTGTCTCACCCGCTGCTCCCCTCCACAGTGTCTTTCAGTCAGTCTGCTTGTTCTGTTCCCCACTCTGTCTCTGGTGGATCCTCTCACCCTCCACATCTCTGGCCTGTACCCAGCTCTTGTATGCATAAATAAATAAATCTTTAAAAAATAATCCTCTTAAGGTGGAAGAAAATTTCTCAATTGTCTTTTATTTTCACTTGAGATATTAGCAAGGCACAACAAGGGTGTCAAAAAACAGTGGTCGGTTAAGCACTAACGTGTTTTCTCTCCAGTTACCATTTCATCCTCTCCTATTAAAATCTTCTCTTCCTCAAGCATCGGTGTTCAGGATGGAATGTAAGTAACTGTTGGGAAAGTTCGAATCCACTCTAATGACAGCCTGACCCCAATACTGCCATGAGAACACAAAGAATGCTCACAAGGCGACACAGGAGCCCATACTCTGCCCACAAATAAAACCAGTCACCCTCTTTTCTTATGAACATGCGTGCTTGCCAATTCTCTGTAAATGACGAGCATAACCCCATTTTAATCTTCTGCCTCCTACGTAAACAGTGTTGGATACACAATCACTGATTATGCCTGCTTCCAAATCACATGCAACCCAGGTCGGCCCCTTTCAATAGCCACACCTTTGTATCACCCTGCACAAGCACAAAGTCACCTCAGCCAAACCACCACGAGACTCCCAAGGTGCCCCTGGACTGTGTTTGTTCTGCAGCAGCAAGTTAAATGACCCGAACAAGTTCCTGGTAATAACAAGTTCCTGGTGGATGCTGGCCAAGGGGATTTAACATACTTTTGTCTTACTAAGTGACGAGCATTCTGGAGTAGAGTAGAAAGAACCTCAGGTAAAAGGTCCCCTATATCCTGACCCATCACTCCTCTGGGTCTGTTTTCTTACTGGTAAAATGACAGCCAGCAGTTCTATCATTTTAAAACTTTTCACCTCTAATCGACTAGATTTCAACCATATTGTGTGTCAAATAAGTTTGTTTCTATGGAAGAACTTGCTCTGACTTCCAATCACTCCACTTACTCCTCACTTCTGAAACAGAACACAGTTAAGGGTTTGTCTGGAGAACTTCATTTTTCACTCTTAAAAAAAAAAGAGAAAGAGATTCATGTCAGAAACAAAACAGCTACGATTATGTCTTTTTCTGTATAGTTAAAATGTTTCATAATTGTAAGAAGGGAAATTGGCTGCTATTTGATTTCTACTTTCACAGTGAAAAGGGGGAGGACAGGGCATGTCTCTGCATCTTTGGAGGATTGGCTCTAACTGAACCCCAGAGAGCGAGCAGCTATTTAGAGAACTCAGGTACTTTTAATTAAACTGTTTTCCCATTTAACTCCCTCCGGCTACCTCATAGGCTTTCTGTTAACAATAGTTAGTCTTGTTATGGAGGATACCAGAACCAAGGTAGGATTTAACCCAACAGCTGTCAGCAAGACCAGAACCAAGAGCATTGATTTGTGTATTTAAGTATTCACCATGCCCCTCCGATGTACATGTTACAGATTAGGCCCGAAAGATCAAGAACAATCTAGAGAGGAGTGAGACAAGATCCCTGGTATCCAGAATTCAGTGAGCAGGCAAGACAAGTGCACACGATCAATACGGTGTGCTAGATACACCTTGAGGGTCATCAGTACAGAGAGGCATCGGCGATGAGATCTTAAGACTGTACCCACTTGCAACTCCAGGAGGGAGGTTTCACTTTAGACCTCATCAGTGAGCACGTTCTGGATACATGAAATGTCTGAGTTTTAAAAGAGGCTAGAACCAAGGGGTTCATTTTCAGCTCACCCGAGACTCTGGCGTGAGACTATAGAAGGCTGCTTCCAAGCTCAGTGGTGTCATAGGAGACCAGGGCTCTTCTCTGCCTCAGCATCCCCGTGTATCCCTAAGAGGAAAGACAGAAGGGGAGCGCTCCCCTCCCAAGACTTTCTTTCTGTTTGGGAGACAAATTACTCCCAGAAGCCCCTGAGGGAATCCTTACACCTCATTGGTCACAACTGTGTCATGTGACCACCACTGGAAGCTGGGAAAATGTGAGCCTGACATTGCAGCAGGGAAGAGGGGAGAGCAGTGGTTGTCAGAAGATCATCCACTCTGCCACACACAGGCTCTTTTATGTTGACTGTGTCCCTCCAAATGCCTAAATTTAACTCCTACCCCCCAATGTGATCATACCTGGAAGTGGGGCTTTTGGGAAGTGGTTGGGATTAGATGAGGGGGTGTGTGTGTGTGTCCATCTTTCTCTGTGTGTGTGTCTATCTGTTTTTCTGTCTGTGTCTCTCCTCCTCTACCACACCCACCTCCACCAAATGAGGCTACAGTGAGAAGGGGCCTGTCTAGAAGCCAGGAAGAAAGCCCTTACCAAGAACCAAATAAGCCAGAACTTTAATTTCAGACTTTAGCTCCCAAATTGTGATAAATAAATGCTGTTTAATTCCCCTAATCCCTGGTGCTCTGTTTTAGCAGCCTGAGCTGCTGAAGACACAAGTCGGTTCAACTGCCTTCACAGACACTCCAACTTCCTGACAAGGGGGTCATCAGGCCCTGCTGCTGAGGTCATTTAGCTACTCTGGACCTCAGCTGTAACCCTGAAATGGAAAGTGATACTTTCTCAGAAGCTTTAGTCCTTACAGCAGCTATAATGAAATGCTACAATGGGTAAATGGGAGACTCTTTAATGGACACCCTTTTAGCCTTAGTTTCTCCGTGTACACAAAACCTTCCTTTTAAAACTAAAGGGGGCTGGGGCAAAAGTTCAAATGTGAAGACATTTGTAGTGGGTGTGAACACCAGAACAAAGGAGTAAACTACTCTTAACTTGCTCTGCTTGAACCCTACCCATTAATTCAGCCCCCTTGTAACAGGGTGGTCCCCAGGAAAGGGGGAGGTTCCCTGCCCCACCCAAGGGAGGGTGGAGCTGAGCAGGAAGAGGAGAAACTGGAGAAGAGACTGAGGAAGGAAGCAGGATGGAGCCAGGAGACCTGGAGGAGGCACATGGAGCCTAGAGACACGTGAAGAAACTGCGTTTGTCTTTTGGTCGTGGACTGGGTGACACAGATGTGGGTGAGACCCGTGGGGAGGTGACAATGGCAGCTTTTATCTTGATGTTGATTTTGCTCTTTTCCTTCTGGGCTTGTCTGATTGTTTCTGACCCTTTGCTGTGGGTCCCCACTGGAAGGTGCTTTAGACTCATGGCAGGCTTTGGGGCCTTGCTCTGGGCCAATCCCATTTGGATGAACTTTTACCCACGAGGGGACGGGTAACTTTGGGTGCTTCATTTAGAAACTAAACTCTTTGCCTTACCTGTATTGTTTCCTAGTTTTATTAAAGTTCCTTCCCATTAAAGTCTTATATGTTTTGTGTTGATGCGGCGGATGGCAGAACCCATTTAGAATAGGCAGGTTTGCGGGGTTTGGGCTGCCCCTCTCCCTGTCCTATAACACCCTCAGGAGGCTTGTCATTGGAAGGGCAGGCCTTCCCATTTTCCCAGAAGCTGTCTTGCAGAATCAACAGAATACCAAAAATAAAGCACCCTAGCTCCATGAGGCCTTAACCTACCATAAACAGTTACTTCAGTCACCCCATCTCACACGCGCACCCATCAGAAAGGGGACTAGATACGCTGGCCGACTCTGCACAGCACAGTCACAGTCAACTTGCAGCAGCCCACATTTCAATGAGCAGACATCAGCTGCCGCAAAGTTTGAAAGTGGTTACGCCTTTCTTCCTGAAATGGGGAGGGGCCTCACTGTTCTAGAAAATATTTAAGATCTCAAAAATTCATGTATTTCTGGAATTAAAAGAGGCTCTAGAGAAAACAATCATTTAATTTGAGTGATGACTGACTTATCTGCCATAGTGCAGATCCTACCAAAGTTGAGTGTTTCATTCATCTTCAAACGGAGGCTTTTAAGGACTATTTATGATTGCTGCAATAGTCTCGTCTAGTTTGTAGTGTCTATCCTCATGTAAATTCCCCCTCTCCCAAAATAAAGCATTAACCACCACCCCTCTCTCCCTGCCTTGCAAGCATGTGAGAACTCAAACCACCTACCACAAACCAAACCAGCCCTTAGCCACTGGGGTTTAGGACTTTTGTCCCAAGTACCAATATAGCCTCCATTGGGCTACTCACTCTGGCATCACAATCAAATCCATCACTGCCACATCATCCTACCTTCAAATAATGTTGTCCCCCAAGTCTTGACACATCATCAAGTGACTTAAATCCTACAGTAGCAATAATGAGTACAAAACAGTACAGACCAGTAAATGCTCTGACCAGTAAATGAGTACAAAACAGTACAGACCAGTAAATGCTCTGCAATAATGAGTACAAAACAGTACAGAACAGTAAATGCTCTGCAACACTACCAAAATGGAGAGCTTGGCTTCTCTCTCTTCCTAAAGTTACCCAATTCTTAAATGTTTTCATTTCTGTTGTTGCAATAGAATTTATTACTCAAGAACTTAACATCCAGAAACTTCCCATCAGCTTTGACTTCTCTTGCAGATCTTGTCAAAAAGTTCAGAACTTTCGTAGTAAATACTATCTGCACACCAACAGGAATCCCTGGTTAATTTAATTAAATGGCAAGGGCAAATGACATATCACACATTCATAATAAAAACATGTTGCTTACTTACAGCTGGTTATAAAGGAAATCATTAATTACTTCCAGAAGTACAACTATAAATTAATTCTGTTACAAGAAACTACAGCTGTACCATGATAGCTAACACTTCCCTTATGACTTTTTAAAAACCTTACCTGAAAAACTTAACTGAAATAGGATCGTTACCTACTTGAAAAGATTAGTATTCAAAGAAAGTGTAGTCAAAAGGCCATGAAAAATTAAATAATTCTGTTAAAGAGTTTTTCAGTGCAATTCAAAGTTCAAAGAACAAAAATCTAGAAATAAATACTCTAGTTTTTAATCTTACAAATATCAAGTTGACTAAGATTCCTAGCATTAGAGAGTCTAATTTATCTAGGATTTTAAAATTTGGTTTATAATACAATATCTACAAACACAATGGCACACATGCCCTGTTAATTAGGAAAGACACAAACAACTTTATTTTCCTAATTTCATCTATGAATCTTCAGAACTGAAGTCATAAGCCTGATTTTCCATTAATAAAATACACGAGTGCTCTAGGGACATCACTGCATCCCTAATCCTAAATGCCATTAGGTCTGATAGCAACATTCTACACACAGTAAGACTAGCTCTCAAGCTGATAAACTTTCTAAACTACCTCAGATCAATGGCTTTCAACTTTTCTGTCTGTAAAGTGACCCAAAACACAGACACACTAAAATTAGCTAAAGTAAGTTTCCATAAGCAATACTTAGTCTTTACTCCAGATTGCACACTCTAGTTTCACTTTTTTGTAATGCTTGCTTTGACCCACTAAATTGATTTCATGACCCTCTTATGGACGATGCTTGAAAAATCCTACCCTAATTCATTTATTTCAACTTTCCACAATAACTTGGCAGTGGCACCAAGGTCAGTATTGGTAATATTAAAGCCACCATCTTCTCCTTCTAACTAATGTTATTTTGTGAAAGAACAACTTCAAGTCCTTCTCTGTATAGAAATGAGCAAAGGAATACAAATTAAAGAGAATTTACATTGATAGTCATATGTCTTTTTCCTTGCTAGGATAGAAAGTGGGGTACAGACTGGAAGACTAAGTAAGTCCCCTTTAGTAAAATAACCTTTTAATAAAATAGCTTGAATAGCTTCTCTATCCACAAATAAAATGATACAGTACATCAATATTTAAAAATAATATTTTTCTATTGCTAAAAACCTACAAATGTTTCTTTTTTTAAAAAGATTTATTTATTTATGCATACAAGAGCTGGGATACAGGCCAGAGATATGGGGGGTGAGGGGATTCACCAGAGACAGAGTGGGGAACAGAACAGGCAGACTGAAATACATTGCTGAGGGGAGCAGCGGGCGAGATAGGAGAGGTCTGCTGCACCATGTGGGTAGCTCCCTGGCCGGCTGGGGATCAAACTCATGTTGCAGAGGCAGCAGATTGCTTCATAGTGCGGTGCTTAACCCCCTGCACCACCAGGGAGGCCCCTACAAATGTTTCTTAATATTGAAATAGCAATTTGTGTAATTCCTGGAAACAGAACACATACCACACTCTCACCTAGAGTTATTACTTAGAGCTAACAATATCTAAAAGGAAGTTCTCCAATTTAGTACCTGGAAGCAAAAGAACCAAAGGTCATTTATTCCTATCATACTGGCAACTGGACAGAAAACAGTGAGGGAGAAAACGAATGGACTTTTTTCCTAACTAAAAGAAACAGTGCAGCAGAGATGGAATAGAACAGCAGAAAGATCTTCAGCTTTAGCATCTGAGAAACTCTAACCCCATGCGGCCACCTTTTAGCTATATGACCTGAATTCAACAATAAAACCACTCAAAATAATTACTCAATAAATATTAATTATGGGCTGGGGGCAGTTCTAAGAGTGTACATCCAGTGCCTCACTGGATTTTGACAACAAAACTTTGTGATGGATTCTGAAGGCCACAGGAACTAAGAAAGAAACTTGCCCAAATTCACGCACTTAGTCCAAGGAGGCCAGAATGCAAACCCAAGGTGGCTGGTTCAAAACCTCGAATGGGGATCTGATGACCTGCTGGGCAGCTTCCTGATCCTTTCAGAGCTGCTCCTGGACAGTCACAGGAGCACTCACCACCACCAGGCCCCAGTGACATAGCTGGCACCAAGCACTGATCACAAAGCACCAAGTAAGCTGGCTTCACCTGCTCAGTCAGAAACTTATCATTTTTCTTTTCCCCTCCTACAGTTTCACCCCTCAAATATACCTCCCCTGTGATTACCATTCACTGACCTTAGGAAATGTGACCTATTTCATCAGTACTGGAGGTATGCATGAGTAATATAATACCTTGCCTGAGTGTATTTACTAAAGGAAGGGAGGCGGGTGTCTAATGTTTGTAAGACAGGGCAAAGTTGTCGGGCTTAATTCAAAGCCAAGACAATGACAGGCGGGGAGCCCATGAGGGCAGGGACTCAGAGAGCACAGCAGGAGTGCGCTGTAACAATCATTAAGGTTAAACTTATTTACCCAAAATGATCTTTACCATGGGCTGAAAGAAGAAAGGAGAAAGAACACCGGGGTGAAATGGATTGGGCTAGTTGTGGCTTGGGGATCTGGCAGAAATTAGAGGGCAGGCCTCAAATATGCCAGGAATTCTGCCGAAGGCAATAAACAACCTCACAATCAAGGGTAGGATTGCATTAAAATTGGTTTTGGAAACGGGAAGTATCAGTACCAAGTAGCTAGTAAGTGTCGACAGAAGTTTTCAGAATAGGGTTACACTCTCTTTCTTTCCTGTCTGTATTAGTTGGCAAATGGCTTCCCCGCCACTTTCGTACCAAAAATAGTGGGTAAGCAGAGGCACTGAAAAGTCATTCAATGGAAATAACCAAAGTACTCAACCATGTTAATTTAATCAAGTATATGAAAAGACAGGTTGACACTATACCAGCATCTAATTAATGAAACCAGTCATTTTTCAAAAAAAAATATAGAACTGCATGAATGTGAGCCCTACAGCAAGACAAGTTAGCTATAAAAGTTAACCTTAACCAGACAATGGACAACAATGCCTGCTGAGATTGCTGTTTAGTAATTTAGTTTTCTGTTCTACATTATACCTCTGTCACGAATCATTATAAAGCTACCTTTTACCCAAATGACACAGAAACATTAATTCCAAAGGGCACCAGCACCCCTATGTTTATGCAGCACTATTTACAATAGCTAAGCCATAGAAACAACCCAAATGCCCCAAAATAGATGACAGGATCAAGAAGATGTGTACATATACACCATGGAATATTACTCAGCATTCAAAAAAGATAAACACATGCAGTTTGCAGCAACATGGATGGAGCTAGAAGAGATCATGTTCAGTGAAATAAGTCAGAAAGAAAAAGAAAAATACCAGATGGTCACACTCATAGCAGGAATTTAGAAAACTTAAATAAGGGGCCAGGAAAAAGACTAATCAATATAAAGTAAAAATCAAAATCAACAAGCAACTATAAACCAGAGACACACTGCGGGGGAGGGGGGGTGGAGGGAGAGGAAGGATTAGAGTCAAAATAAGGGGGGGGGTGCAATTGTATGGGGAATATAACCAAAATGAAAATGCATACATTGTGCAAAAATGAAAAATGATGTAATTATATAAAATAAAATATTAATAATTTTTAAAATAAATAAAAATTATTCTTTAAAAAATAAATAAAGCTACCTTCAAAGTACTCAGGAATCAGTAGTTTGCTAAACAACCCATAAGCTTGGAAAAAAGCATCCATATGCCTAAATGACATAAATTGAATTTATAAATGTTTAGAAAACAGGACACTGTTATTACAGAGC